GGATCCAAATAAAAATATGTTATTACTGGGATTTGAATGCATGTTAAAGATAAAATATTTGAGAATAAAGACAGCAAAACCATGACTGGTTACCCTATCTCTGTTGTATTTACTACTGCATAAACTGAAGGCTGTGTTTGTGAATATAACTTCAGGTATGTAGCCATTGCTGTCTGCATCTTTTTTGGCTGTAGTTGCACAGCAAATCAAGCTGTGATCCTGCCGAAACTGGACAAGTAACACCAAGTACTTCAGGAGGGTCATAATTTGCTGACCTTTAGAAGGGACCAAAGGGGTTGCTTTAAGCAAGTTTGCTACATTTGTATTTCGAGCAGGTATTTCTTGTGGAGGGAAAATGAGAGCAACAAGGTTTTGGACTTTACTCTCAGGACTTGTTATCCAAGAGAAATTTCATATAGGAATACATCATTGCAGGGAGATATTCACCCCCTGGCAAACTGGGGCTGTGGCAATTGCATGCTCCATCTACCTTTGGTGCAATCAAGCTGTAGGTCTCTTTCTGTCTAGGAGAGTAGCCCACCCACCTGACCATTATGCAAAAGTAGGTGGCACCAGCAAATACCATACTCTTTGTAAATGTTAGGAGGCTGCACTAACCTGACCCAACCTGACTTGGAGCTGGGCTTCAGTGGGAGACTCTGGGTCATTCTCCTGCACTTTAGAAATGACCATCTAATATTAGCTGCAAGCAAATTTTCAGCAGCAGAAGTGAAGTTCTGTTGAATACAGGCATTACAGGGCCAGGCATTTTTTGATACAGTATCTGTCTGAGACATGGGAGGATTTTAAGCAGACTGGTTCCCAATACTTCTGAACTTTCACTCTAAATAACAACACTCTAAAGTATTGGGTATCCTGTCAAATACTATATACTTAGAATGTGCATTTCATAATCAGGACTTTTTATCTCCTTAAATCCTTTAAAGTGTATACATGGATATGCATTTTTTAAAACACAAAACCACAGTACCTCCTTCATCTGTGCTTTGTGATGAAATACATAATGTAAGTTACAGCAACAGGTAGGTGATCTGTACACTAGCAGCAGTTCTCAGGCTCATCATTGCCAGATTACTTATTCCATAAACTGGTTCCCATTTTTCACAGGCAAGCATGTTAAGATTATTTAAGTAATTCTTATGGCCTTGTATAATAATGGCACTGGATCCATGTGATAGTAACCTCTTTCTGTGGGGATGTCTTTACCCAGTATTGTCACTAGAAAATGTGTGTGAGGCTCAGTTACTGGAGCTGGCTTCTTCTTAAGGATAAGGAAAAAAAATAAAAATTAAAGAAGATACTGCTCATGAAATGAGTGACACTTTATTCTATACTAAGTTTTCACATGTAATACTTCCTTACAAACAATTACACAAGCTTTGATGATTAAGAAAAAAATAAATGTATGCATTATCTTCTCATTCACACATCAAAATGAACTTTTAACTCTAAAAGCAGACATCTGTGGATATTAACATTCACTTAACGAAGTAATCCTTGTGTCTCTTTAGTTTCTTGAAACTTGCCTCTGTATAAACGCAAAACTCCTTTAAAAAATCGCAGAACTTCATTAGAAAGATGAATAATATCAAATGAAGATTGTGGGCTACATTGTATGCTTATGCTCATGTAAGTTTACTCAAAGCAAAGCACTAAATGTACTGCTTCTATGAGATACAATTGTGCAGGACTCGTGTACCTTTATTTTTCTTCAATAGATTCTGGGGGGAAAAAAAGCACAAAACCCTACCACCTGATAAGTGTGAAAAGCAAAAAGCACTTGATAAAAACAAGTAGTTCCATAAGCATTATGTCAGCCTGGGGCTGTTGCTGGCACCTGCCAATTCAGCTAGTAGATTCACACCAAAGCCTTTTATTCAGGAAGGTCACTAATCTGAGCCTCACTCATTCTTCTTCAGGTACTTACTTTCAGAAACTTCTTGGAAATTACTCTGTATTTCACTATCACTCTGTATTTGGAATCAGTGAAGATGCTGAAAAAAAAATACTGGGCAGGAAGTTGCCATAAAGGCACACAGGACTCTTTCTTACAAATGTTTTATGTCCTTTAAAAGTCAGCAAAAAAAAAATCAGAGGTGATCCATTGTGTAAACTTCAGATTTTCTCAGCTCCCTATATTAAATCTTGCTTTTTGATCAATTTAATAATTTTTATTGCACTCTACCTTCAAAGTTCTTCCGTTAGAAAAGGGCAGCAGAAAATTTATGAAAAATAAAGATATGCTGAGCTCAGTTTTCTCGTACAGCAGAGGAATTATTAGTCTTCGTAATATAAATTACAACCAGACTGAGTGTTTAATTTAAAAAAAAATTGCAAATGGAAAAGCACTTACATTGCTGTACTCCAGAGACCTTTTGATACAGTTTAAATGAGAAAGAAAATTCAAAACCTTTGACCTGGTTTCACCAAAGGTTTCTTTTTTATTACATCTTTGTTATGCTCTCTGAGTTTGCTTGGTTTTTATCAGCAACACACAGAACACATATTAACCACATGGAAACTTTCATCTTTTTGATGAACTAAACATATTGCCTTTGTTTCTCTTTCTCGCATCATTGACAACAGGCTTTTGTGTCCAACTGTGATAATGTCCCATGTTCAGAACATTCATATCTCTGTATGAATCTAACAACAGGCAATTGACATCTTGATGGCTTTCTTGTCCTCCATAAGGGGATAAACAAACACATGCATATGCAGCCCATGCTTAAATGGACAGAAAAACTTGTTCTGACTAGCAGGGCTTTTGTACACCTGTTACATTTAATACATATGTCAGGCACCATCTGTTAAAAAGACTCTTTTTTCCCTCTTTGTGCTTTAAACAAGACACAAAAATGAAGTGCTGAGAAGCTCAAACATTGCAGAGGTAAAGAAATGGGTGTTAATAGCTATCCATCAAAGCCTGGGGTTTCAACATAAAAACCACATTAGAGCAGAATGAGAACTAAATCAATGGACTGTTCTGTTTCCTAGCTTCTTACATTATTCGTGCAATACCAGAATGAAATCACATTACTTTATTTGTGGTGACCTAATAGTGCTGTGACAAAGGACTAATTGCTTTAAAATTTTGTGATCAAATATTCAGTTGGGAAATACTGTTGAAATTAACATTTGTTTTAAAGAAGTCTCTGTCCTCATATCTTTTTGATGTCTTGATTGATACACCATCATCCCTTAATCACAGGTAACTTTGTGAGCTATTGCTTCTGTTTAAAATACTCCTTTTATATTTGTCTAACTACCTTGATAATTAGATAACATAAAAAACATTAAAAAAGGACAATTTCTAAATGTAATTCTTTTGGAATTTCTTCATGAAGTGTAACTTGTGTCTGCAAATGGATCCACTGCATACAAACCCCTTTTTAGCTATTTTGTTTCTTAGTTTGAATAAATCAAAACGAGTTATACCTTCTTGGTGTTTTTCTGAAAAGCACTGTATTCTGACTAGGGAATATTTTGAGAGGTTTTCCTTCATTGCCAGGTGATCAGTGGATGCAGCCATAGGAATTTACTCTGCTTTTCTATAGCCACTTGACTGTGTAACATTTCCTTTAAGTCAGGCTTGGAATCTGGAAATTGTTTGGGTTGGCAGATCATGGCTGACTTTCTTTTTGTGAGATAGGGAGATTTCCAATTCCCACCCAATACAAGTGCAACAGCTGTCATGACAACATTACTCTTCCCTAAGACCCGTTCATCACTCATTTTGTTTATGTTATAGGCAGGAGATTGCCTGAAGAAAGCCTAAGTAAGTGCAAGAAATATGAGTTGGTTTAAATCAATGTTTTTTCTATATACATATCAAGACACACCAAAATTAAGATTATTTCTGAACCCTAATATTGTTATTACATAAGGTTCCAACTTACTCTGCTAATATATGAAACTATAAAAAGTGATGTGAGACCTAACTGATTTAGTAAAGTCTGTGGAGTTTTGTTCTAAAATATTCTCTTTCCTGGGCAAAAATGGAGCAGTTATTCTGCTTAATTTGTTTTCTCTTTATCTCTGACGGACCGAGTTGTGTGACTGTGCCAGCTGATATGAAGAAATGTGGGAATGAGGATCTTGCTGACTGCTGGTATTACAGCAATAACAGTGAGCTGAAACCTGCACAGGGGTATTCCCAATCCAACTAACTACAGGAAAATATTTAAACTGTGGGAAATTGTTGTAAATGTATGGCAGTGTTTTGGAATTAGATGATCTTTAAGGTCTGTTCCAACCAAACCATTCTGTGATTTTGTGCTTGAATAAAGCTACCTTACTTTGTGGATGCAGCTTGTATGAGGTAGAGAATTGACTCAAATAACGTGTAAGGCTTAACTGTTATAATAGTTGGAGGCAGATAAGTGAAACCTCTCAAAAATCAGGACTGTCACTTTTGGCTCCTAAGTCTGCATATGTGGAGATCCACCTTGACTCCTAATAGAGATCTTCTTACTTCCAGCTTCCATAGAACTTTCTGAGCTACTATGGATGGTAGATATCTGTTCTGGATTATGTGCATTGTTATTATCCTTATTTAGAGCTCTGTTGCGATTTTACTAGAGGTGAACAACTACCAAGACTCTGCAGGAATCCTCAGAGCTATCAAAGATACTGAGCAGAATGAATGTCAGTAATGAAGGAGGCTGCCTCTCTGAAAATATGCTTGTAATAAGAGAACATCTGGAGGAAGTGGTTTACCTGTATTCTGAGCATAGCCATCCTACATGCTTCAAGCCAAACTGCTGGACCAAAGCCCTGCATCACAGTAATTCAGAATAAGGGCATTTGACATTTTCCGTTGACATAGAGCCACTCTGCTGCCAAGAAAGTAAAGTTCATGGCACCAAACAGAGCTAGCAATAAACAACCTAACTGCAGTAAAATGATTAGAGTAATGTCCTACTTTTCTGGGCTCTGTTCCCATGACTTTCTGTACCTTTATTTCTTCAAAAAATGTCAGAGTGGTGTGCTAGTGCTGTATGAAAATGGCCACTCAAGGCAAAGAAATAAAGAACTTCAGCTCAGTCCTGGGCACGCAGTTAGACTGCAAGGTCAGTTTGAAAAGGACAAAAGCACAGTGATGCCAAAGGTTTTTTATCTGGATTTTGCTTAAGATCAAAAGCTATGCATAATCTCTTAAAAGCAGATACGTGTGAGGCCTGGGTGCTGAAAATAAGTAGGTGTATAGCATTATGCATCACAGATAAATGAGAGAACTAGTTTCCTGCTTTGGATGTACTATGTGACTTGTGGAAGTTATCTCTTGTGCTTTTCCAATTACATTTATTTTAGGCTGGATGTTCCCACTACTAGATGCTTAAATCTAGATATATATGCACCTTATAGGCACATTAAAACTTACCCAAGAATACTTGCACATCTCTTTAGGTGAAGATTTGATAACTAAAACAAGAAAAAGGTCTTTTTTACAAGGTCTGTTAAATGCTACCATTACATGAATTTGATTTTTTATGTAAATGAACTTTGAGTGATAGACTCTGCTTCTCAGCCAGCTTTGAAAAGATGTGTGAGCTGCAAAAAAAAATTATTCTCCTTTTACTCTTAGTCAAACAGAGCATTCCAATCTTTCGTGGCAAGCTCTGCAATTATAAACTCTGTTTTAGAAACACTTAGTGCTTTTCCTGGGAAAATGTCTTCTACTTTTCTTCAGTTCATGGAACAAAGAAGTAGTACTCACCTCTCTGTTATCTCTACTAAATTCTAAACTTCCAAGCCTGTACAACTTCTATAAAGTAATAAGCATGAAACTTGACAACAAAATAAGCCAGTGTGATGCTAAATAATAAAACTCAGCTCTGCTACTCACAAGCAGATTCCAGCACTGTACGTTTAACTATTTGAACGATGTTACTTTCTTGATACACAATATTTTTCAAAATGGGAATTGAATAATGTTAAATCTGTTATTTTCCAATAGTATTCATTTTAATCAGGTGAAGTTCAGAGGACTATTTCTCTGTTATCACAAGGCTCAAGTTCTAGGGATAATGAAATTGCATTTGTATTAGAATGAGAATCATTCTTAGTAGGAAGAATTTATTGAACTCCTTGCTTTGCCTCCAATTACAGGATTCCAACTCTGTCAAGTCTCTCAAACTTCTGACACTCATGTTTCCTTTCTTTCTGACTTCTTTCTGACCAGTTATTTGGGATTTTGGTTCTAAGAATTCTAGAAGTTGAAATTCATTCGAGAACCTAGATAGATCCTCTTGCAGATCATTCTGGACCCTGAGTGTTTTCTTGTGGAAATGTAGTCTTAAAAATAGTTTATATTTATATATATTGACAACACCAAGCTGTATTAAAAACAGTGAACTTGTATTCTAAAGTTATTTCTTAATCTTAGTTATATTCAAATTAGTTTTAAAAGGGAAAAGAGATGTCTTCAGGTTTGCAAAGTGAATAAAGGTAGCAATATGTAATTTTAGACTAGTTTCTGTCTACACATTCGCTGTTACTTGAGCATAGACACATTAAACATCTGTGACAAGCTAAATACAGCTTTAGATAAGCTAAAGCCTAAACATGTCAGGAGTCTTAGAACAGGAGACATGTTGCTCTGACTGAGCCAGAGTGGCTGGGAGCCTCTCCCCACCTGTCTTCCCTGTTCTTCTACATGTAAAATATTTTTTTTTATGCTGGTTCATAATTTATGTACCATATTGCTCAAGACTTGACGCTGGATCACCATCTTTTGACCTATTTTTTCCCAGCAAAAGAAGAGGTTCCATACATGCATGGATTTTCAAGCAATTTTATGTTGGAGCAGAAGAAGCTTGAACCAGAGGTCCAATGGAAGAATGATGGGGTCAGAGAAGAGGCAGAGGAGGAACAGCTGAATAATAAATGAAGTCCATCTTTGCTGTTGTTCATGACGCATTCATTACAGAACAAATCTGTTTCTTCCTGATTAATTCAGTTTCTATAAAAGGAACCATTCTGTGCCAGCTTTTCATTCAGTATTTTTTTTTCTGCTATTCCTGCCTACTTCTGCACCACTTTATGCAAACCAAACTTAATTTCAAAATAAGTTAGGAAGCCACTTTCCCAATAAATATGAAGGATTCATTTACTGCTATTTGTACACAATTACAAATTATTAAGACATATAATGTGTTCAGTTTTAATGATTTGGGTTTTACAAGCATAACACACACCATCACTGAGTATTTCAGAGGCATCCTGGTTACTGGAATTCCTAGAACATCTTGCAAAGACTGTTTAGGCCATCAGTCTGGTAGGCAGTGTCCATGGCTAACATGTTACAAACACATATATCCAGTCTGTCTATATGTTGCAAGAGTCTAAGCCAGCAAATATATCGAGACAGAAGCTTGAGCCACCCTCAGTAACGACGCAGAACTTTTCTTCCAAGTGGAAGTCCTACTCCTCAGTCAGCCTTTTGTCACTTGTCCCTGTGAGCTCACTATTCCACTGTAGTCATTAGTTTGCCCCAGTTAATAGGCAGTGGCTGAGGTCAATGATACCAGGATAATAAAAAGCATGGAACAAGCATGTTTGGGGTTTTTGGTGGGCTTTTGTTTGTTTGTTTGGTTGTGTTTTTTTTTCTTTTGTTTGTTTGTTTGTTGGGATTTTGTGTGTGTGTGTGTGTGTATGTGGGTTTTTTTTTTGTTATGGTTGGTTTGGTTTTGTTGGGGGGGGAGGGTTGTTTGTTTTGGGGTTTGTGTACGTGTGTGTGTGTGTGTGTGTATGTGTGGAAAAGGTCTCCATGGAGATAATATTTTCTGGTGGCACTATAGCCTGGATGAAACTGAAAATCACTATTAATCATCATTCATTGAAATTTTCTTGACACTCCCATCTATAACCCTGTAAAAGCCAGTACACATATAAATTAAGCAGGCACTCTAAGTTTTCAATAGCAAGTAATCTGTCTGTGCTACTGAATGTGTGTGTGGACAAAAAGCTAACCGTAAATCACAGAACATGAATAAAGGGAGATGTTCTGGTTAACACATGATGAAATAGCTACTATTCAGGGAAAAAAAAAAAAAGGAAAATACAACAAACGGAGAAAGTAGGCCTACCTTTCTCTCAGTACACTATTGTCAGCAGCCTCTCCTTCAGAGTATTACCTTTAGAGTATTACCTTTTACAGCTACTATACAGTTTTGGGTACATGACAATGCATGCCTTTAAGTATGTGCCCATGGGCAGGTCATGTGTTTCTTCCCTGTGAATCCTGATGTTAAGTTGCAGTTCATGTGTTTATTTTGTTTGCTGCCTGCTTTGGGATTTATTTGCGTTTTCTTAATAATGTGCCTGGATATCCTGCATTGTTGATTTTTTCATAAATAATTTTTCATCTAAGCTCCCTGGAGTATGAATACTTGTGCAATAGATAGAGATACAAACTTCAAAGCAGAGATTTTAATTGTAAATGAATACATAAAATTGATTATCTCAAGGGGTTAGTGATACAGTACTTTAATGCTGTGCTTCCTTTATCTCACCACCTAAGATCAGAATCACTCTTTCGAAGTGCCTATCTCCATTGTAAATAAAGTTTGCCTAGGGCAAGTAGCATACAAATGGGAGCATTTCAGTTGCATGTCTAACATTAAATGGACTGAATCCAGGATCCTGGCCTAAAAATTTGTCAGACAGGTAAGAATAATATATTATCTTCAAAGATGAGTTATTTTATCTTCACATCATCCTCTACCTCTTACCTGTGTAAACCACGTGTCAGCTACTAAAGGGCTAATACATTAGTTCACAAAGTTATGATCAATCTTAGCTTTTTGTCCTCCCCTATGGTGAATGAAATTCATACTAGGAGGTTTGAATGATTATCAAAATTCACTAGCAGGAATAACTTAGAAAATTGGTTAATTGTTTTCATGGCTGCTCACCATGTCCTGTTAACTCTGTAAATAGATATGGGGAATAGACATGATGTTATCAATTTTAAAGAAAGATTTTATCAGTGTCTTTGCTAACTTTATCCATTCAAATTACCTCAACCATCAGCTTTGATTTTCAAAAAAAAAAAAAAAAAATAGCAATATAGATGTATTCTACAACGGGTTTACTAAGCATTCATTCCAATGTATAGACCTGATTCTTAACCTTAATGCAAGAAATAGATGACAGCCCAGGTCATCCAGGGTATTTATCCCTTTAAGATTGATGAAATAAATAAAATATAAGGTATGCTGGGAAATTAATTCACTGTATAAGCGCTTCTGCAGCTCCTATTGATGCAGAGGACCAGTATCTAATCATTATTCCATCTAAAAAAATCAACAAATTAACTTACTAATGTATTTATTAGAACAACTGCAACATTATAGTGTAATGAATGAAATCTGTATAAAACATACCTAGGAAATTCTGCGACCAAGAAAGAAGATTTTGTTCCTCCAGATAAAATGAAAAATTCCTCATTAGCAAGTGGAAAGTTATGGTTAAACCCGACAAGTATTTAAAGGAGTCCTTGGTTAGCCTTTAGATTTGAGCTCTAAGCCAGCCTGAAAAATATGCATCTCACTTACTACAGCAAGCAACGTCATTGTCTATTGAGATTATGTCACCAAAAGTCTACAATGAAATCGTGGATGATCCTAAATAATGATGGCCTGGATTTTCCCATATTAAAATAAATACTGATAATTCTACAGGTTTATAAAAAAACCTGAGACCATTGTAGAGTAACTTTGAGGTTGGCAAGTATGAAGACACATTCATACTTTGAGAGTTCTGAATCTGTCATTTCCTCTGATGAAAGTAAGACCAAATTCCAATGCATAAAGTTTTTCTGAGCCACACACAGAATAGCTCCTTTAACAAACAGACCAGGCTTATCATGTTACAATAATACATCTTATAAAAGCTTTAAAAAGAAATGCCCACATCAAAATTGACATTTCTTCATCACCATAATCCTTAAGTAACAGATTATTATGAAAAGAATCTTCAGCCGTTTTGCAGCGCTTTAATTGTATACATCTACTTTTAACAAAATATTTTCCTTATTTTTAACTCTCAGCATTTATTATTTCTTTTTTTTTTTTTTTTTGATGTTACTCTAACCAGGAGAAGTAGCTAATAATGGCAAACTCTGAGAATAAAAGCATTAATTCATATCTTCTTATAAATAACCAGTCATCCTGGAGAGGTAGAGTTCAGGTTACGGCACCCAGAATTAGTAGCTTGCATGTAGGTAGCCAAATGAGCAGCAGGTAGCTCTGGATATTGTCAGTACAAATCTTGGGCACAGTTCATATCTTTATATGGTGTATAAACACACAGTCTATCGGGCCAGATTAGATCCACTCAAGGGTACTGAGGGAGCTTGCAGAAGTGTTCACGGAGCCACTTTAAATTATTTATCAAGCAGTTCCTGCTACCTTTGGAGGTCCTGATTGACTGGAAATTAGCAAATGTGATGCCCAGCTACAGGAAGAGCTGAAAGGAGAATTCAGGGAACTACAGCATCCTGGCTCGTATCAGAAATTGTGTGGTCAGCAAGACTAGGGAAGCGGTTGTCCACTTGTACTCAGCATTGGTGAGGCTACACTTTATATACTGTGTTAGTTCTGGGCCACTCACTACAAGAAAGACTTGAGTTGGTGGAATGTGTCTGAAGAAGGGCAGCAAAGCTGGTGAAGGGTCTGGAGCACAAGGTTAATAAGAAGCAGTTGAGGTAACTGGATTGTTTAACCTGGAGAAAAGGAGTCTCAGGGAAGACCTTAGTGCTTTCTACAGGTACCTGGGAAATGAGATTGTAGCAAGGTGAGTGTCAGTTTCTTCTCACAGGTAACAGGCAATAGGACAAGAGGAATTAGTCTCAACTTGCACCAGGGGAGGTTTAGATTGAATATCAGGAAAACTTTCTTCCCTGAAAGGGTTGTCAAGCACTGGAACAAGCTGCCCAGGGGAGTGGTTGAGTCACCATACTTGGTATTTAAAAGATGTGTTGACATGGCACTGATGGATATGGTTGTGGACTTGGCAGCATTAACAGTTGGACTCCATGATCTTAAAGGTCTGTTCCAATCTAAATGATTCTACGATCCCAAAATTTTCATAAAATGATGCCAAATCAATGCACTGTATTATGTCCAAAACAGGTTTACCAGGAAAACAAGGGAAGTGCTTGACCTTCTGGCAGTTTCTAATGTGATGCTTCCTCTGAGTAACATGAAAAGGAAAGAAGACATCACTCTACAGCACTTGCAAGATCAAAGCTTTAGCCAGATATCTGAGTATTTGCATTTGTCTTGTGCTAAACATTATCTAATGGTGCACAGCAAGAGAGAATCTGGTCCCCTATCTGAGAGTTCAACTGCTGTCACTCCTGGGAGAACACTTTACTACAGACTTCTATCAGAGCTTAGGGAAAAAAGCTGTACTGTAACATTGGTTGATTAAAGAAAATTCAAATGAGTGATATGTGCGCAGTTGTAAACATTTAATGGAGGTTGTAAAACAAAATCAGACCTGCTGGAATCTTTTGGGGGTATTCTTTGCCATTCTAATAAACAGTTCTTTTGTCCAGTGTTCGAGTAGATAAGAAACACCAAAGGGAATCCCTAGCCAAAGTCTGCACAGTGCTATCCTGGCACTACTAAGACCAGCTACTTGAGGTGGTTTCTTGTTTGATTTGGCTAAGTATGCATAGCAACACTGTAATGATTCCATATGTTCAAAATACAATCACATGCAAGACCAAACTCTGCAAATTTAGTGTCCTGAAAAACAATGAAATTGTGCATGACAGCACTTTCTTGGGTTACTTCTAGACAGCAATACTGCTGGAATTCTTTTAGTTCATCACAAATGAGTGTACAGATTTCAAGAAAGTATGCCTAAAGAGGATAAGCTACTCTCTGAAA